GAAAAACCGACCCCAGGGAAGTGGCCCAGACTTCCGGGGCCCACGCATCGAAAAAATTGGAGCAGCCGGATGGCTGGGGACGAAGAGCCGCCACAAGAATACATTCTCGGCGGTCCGCGCGGGTGTCCTGGATCGGCGCTGGACCCCCCCCCTTGGCGGCGCCTCTGGCTCCGCCTCTGGCGCGCTCTTGGCGCCAGGCCCAGGATCCAAGAAGTCCAAGAAGTCGGCGCGGTCCTCCGGACTCGGGATGGCCTCCAGGACGGCATGATGACCACCCGTGGCGAAAGTCGGCCCAGATCCATTCAAATACGACGGCTTGCGCGCAGTCCTTGCACACGCCCAGAAAAAGAAAGAAAGGCGCGCCCCGAGATGATCCGAGAAGGCCTCCCGGGCAGCCCACGACGGCCCCTGAGGCAGCCCCTCGGCGGCCTGGCACATCCCCCCCCCGCAACGACCTGTGCCGGAGGAGGAGGAGGAGGAGGAGGAGGAGGAGGAGGAGGAGGAGGGGAGGAGGAGGAGGAGGAGGAGGAGGAGGAGGAGGAGGAGAGGAGGAGGGGGAGGAGGAGGAGGAGGAGGAGGAGGAGGAGGAGGAGGAGGTATGGCTCCTGCAAGGAGGAGGTGTACGGCAGCTGCGTCGCCCCGCTGCTGGCCGGCTGCATGCAGGGCTACAACGCCACGGTCATGGCGTACGGGCAGACGGGCAGCGGCAAGACGTTCACGCTTGGCCTCCACGGCGCGCCGCAGGAGCGAAGCGGCGAACCCGGGCCCGAGGACGGCGTGACCCACCGCGCCGTCCGCGCCTGCTTCGAGCACATCGAGCGGCTGCAGGAGGAGGCCGAGTTTAAGGTGTCGTGCTGCTACATTCGAAGAAGAGGTAGCGGCTCAGACATAACCTTTTGGCGCTCCGCGCGGATTTCTTGGATCCGCGCTGGAGCCCCCACCCTGGCGCGCGGAGCGCGCCGCCGGTGGAGGCCGCTGGGGGCTCTGGTGCAGATGCAAGAAATCCGCGCGGAGCGCCAAAGGTTTCTGTTTATGGCGGGTTTCCTTTTTCTATACATGGAGCTGTACAACGAGGAGATGCGGGACCTGCTGCACCCGAGCACCCCGAAGCACCAGATCGCCATTCGCGAGACAGTGGCGGGCCACATTCAGGTGCTCGGTTGCAACTCCTGGGATCGGCGCTGGTGTGTCTGCGGTCGAAGCTCGTCCTTTCCCAGCCTGATGCCGCTCCATCCGGCTGAGTCCTGGGCTGAATTTGGCTTAGCCAGCTCCACGGCCTGGTAACCGGCATCAGTAAACCTGATCCGTTCCCGCGAAGGCCTCCCAGGATTTGCAGCCTGAGCGTGCAGGTTACCGGCATCCGCGCGGAGCCCTGTGCCAACGCCTCGGACATGCTGCGCTGCCTGGTGGACGGCTCCGTGCACCGAACCACGGGAGCCACCATGATGAACGAGCAGAGCTCCAGGTCTCTGGGCCTCCTGGACGGGGTCGGAGTAGATGGGGTCGGAGGATCGCGCCGCGTCGCCGATGCATCGGCGATGCATCGGCGATGCGGCTCGATGTGGGCCCCCATTTTCTCCACGCCGACGTCGCCGATGCACTGCCGACGTCGCCGGTGCATCGCCGATGCATCACCGATGCCGCGGCGACGGCGATGCGGCGAGACCCTCCGAGCCCATCTCTACTCGGACCCCATCTGGGAGGCCTCTCTAAGGTCGCACTCCATCTTCACCATGATCCTGGAGCAGCGCGGCCCGAGCGGCCCAAAAGCCAGCGAGCCCCACGACGCGGGCCCGTGCGAGGACGAGGCGCCGCCCCCCTCCTAAAGAGGGAGGGGGAGGAGGAGGGGGAGGAGGAGGAGGAGGAGGAGGAGGAGGAGGAGGAGGAGGAGGAGGAGGAATATGAGGAGGAGGAATAGAGGAAGGAGGAATATGAGGAGGAGGATTATGAGGAGGAGGAATATCAAGGAGGAGGGAGGAGGAGGAGGAGGAGGAGGATGGAGGAGGAGGGGGCGGAGGAGGAGGAGAAGGAGGAGGAGGAGGAGGGAGGAGGAGGAGGAGGAATATGAGGCGGGAGGAGGGGAGGAGGAGGAGGAGGAGGAGGAGGAGGAGGAGGAGGAGGAGGAGGAGGAGGAGGAGGAGGAGGTGGAGGCGCCGTCCTACCGCACGGCCAAGTTCCACCTCGTCGACCTGGCGGGGTCCGAGCGGCTGAAGCGCACCGGCGCCGTCGGGAGCCGCTTCCGGGAGAGCGTCGCGATTAACGCCGGCCTCCTCGCGCTCGGGAACGTCATCTCCGCGCTCGGAGACCCCGCTAAGAGGGGCAGCCACGTGCCCTACCGGGACTCGAAGCTGACGCGCCTGCTCCAGGACAGCCTGGGGGGCAACTCGAGAACCTGGATGATCGCGTGCGCGAGCTGCGCCGACGCAGACTTTGAGGAGATCGGCGGCGAGCGAAGGGGGGAAGTGAGAAGGGCGGCGGGACTTTTCAGAAGCCCTCCGGCCTTCTGAGAAGTTTTCCGCGTCGCCGGGGAAGGCTTAGAGAACTTCTCGGATGGCCGTGGGACTTCCGAACCCTCTGAGAAGGCCTTCTCCTTCTTGCTTCTCCCCCGGGCTCGCCGCCGAGGAGACGCTGAACACGCTGAAGTATGCGAACCGCGCCAGGAGGGGCGTGGTGCGCGCGAGGGGGTGGGGCGGGCGATGAGGGTGTGCCCTGCCGAGAATGCGGGGGGCCTCTTTCAGGGGCCTTCTTGGGGTAAGGCGGGAGCTTGTGAGTCCTATATTTTGACGATTCTCCGGTTTTCGTGCAGTATCCGCCTGTAGGAGGGCGTGCCGACCTGGCCCTTCTTCTTCCGAGAGGGCTTCTCAGAAGCAGGAGGAGGAGGAGGAGGAGGAGGAGGAGGAGGAGGAGGAGGAGGAGGAGGAGGAGGAGGAGGAGGAGGAGGGGGAGGGGGAGGGGGACAGGAGGCCTCCGAGAAGCCTCCCGCCTCCTCGGCATCACCCCGCCCTCTCAGCAGGCCGCCCTCCCCGCGCCGCCCCCTTCCTGGACATGTCTGGCTCTCTCTTCGGCCCTCACGAGGCGAGGGGCCCGCCGACCTCTCGGCCGCCCCCCCCACAGGGCCGAGCTGCTTCTCGCCGCGCGAGTCGTGCGAGGGCGGTCGTGCGAGGTCCGGGCTCGGCCCGCAGAGGCCGAAGAGTATGGCAGACGGTGCGAGGCGGAGACTTGTCCCTATCCACCGCCTGGGAAGCGGTGGATAGGGATACGTGTGTGTGTGTGTGTGTGTGTGTGTGTGTGTGTGTTTGTTTGTGTGGATATGTACACATCTTTATAGAGCTATATATATATACTAGTGTGGACCCGTGGATTAAATCCACAGGGTTGCGCGGATCGAAGTTTGGTTGCGAGTGCTGGGTTGTGCGACGCTGCCAGCTACTGCCGTAGATCCTGTGAAGCTTGTTCTGGTGCTGTTCCCCCACTGAGCGCCCCCAATGCACCGAAGCGGGGGCCGAAGTGTTCGAGCTTTGCAAGAGGCAAAAGTTCAAGAGACCAAGCCAGAGCAGCGTTGGAAGATACGCGTCGGGATCGCGGCGGACGCGGGAGCGGGTCGGGTCAAACGCGGCGCCGTCTCGGGCCGCGTCGGAAGCGTCGGAACGGCGTCGCGGCAAAATAGGGAGCGCAGACGGGCAGGGCCAGGGCCACGGGAGTGTAAAACATTGTTCTTTTGCGCCTGCGAAGGGCCTCTCGCCTCTCGTCCGCCCCTCTCTCTTGGAGGCAGTTTTGAAGCCTCTAGGGGGCCGTTTGGGAGCTCTATGGGGGCTCTTTTGGGTCTCTTGGGGGCTCCTCGGGGCCCTCTTGGGCCGTGTATGGCGCCTCTTGGGCCGTCTTGGGGCCGTCTTGGGCCACCTTGGGCGCCACTTGGGCCGTCTTGGGGCCATCTTGGACTCTCTTGGGCCCCTTTTGGGCACCTCTTGGGGTCCTCTTGGGCCGTCTTGGGCGCCCTTTGGGCCGTCCTGGGGCCGTCTGAGCCATCTTTGGGCCCTCCTGGGGGCCGTCTTGGGCAATCTTGGAGGCCTCTGGGGCTGTCTTGGACGCTTCGTAAAGGAAAATGTCGAATCTGTTGAACATGTGCATTTTACGAAGGGAATGTGGCCATCTTTGCTTGATGGAGCCCTCCTGGGGGAGCCCTCGGACCCCCCCGGAGCCGTCCGGGGGCGTCTTTGGGGCGTATGGGGCCGTGTGGAGATGGTTTGTGCTTGCACGTGAAGGAAGTCAAGAGGGGTTTTCATTATGTCGCCCCTTTGGCTCCGCTCTCTCTTGCATCGCATAGCTTCTCTGGTCCAGAGTCGATGGATGGGGTCGCCATCCCTGGTGGGGCGGCCGCGCTGCCGGCCTGGGTGGTGCTGGCGCTGGAGGCTGCGGCTTACCTTCGGCCAGGGTGGGGCCCGGCGCAGGCGGCCTGCCCTGACCTCTCGTGACCCGCCTGTCCTGCGTGTCCAGAGGCGGCGGCCTGCCCAGAGGCCGCGGCCTGCCCGGCTTGCGAGCCCCTCCCTGTGCGGCTTGCCCGGCCTGCGAGCCGCCGCCGTGTGCGGCCTGCCCGGCCTGTGAGGCGGAGGCGTGCCCGGCGGCGTCGTCGGGCGAGAAGGCGGCTGAGAAGCTCGTTGGAGCGCTGCTCGGAGGCCTGGTGCACTGGCTGGTGGGGAAGGTGTTCGCTCGCAGGCATGGCGGCGCTCGTGGGGTGGCTCCGCGGCGTCGTGGGGCGGGAGTGGTGGACTAGAGCGCTCCCAGCGGAGCGCGGGGTCTGCCGAATCGCCGACGACGACGTCGACCACGAGCGGGTGCTGCTGCATGACGTGGCGGAGGGCGAACGGGTCATCCTGTCCCCAGAGGGTGGCATCTACGCGGAGGACATGAGCTGTGGTAGCGCCGAGACCGGGCCTGCCCGATCCTTCCTGCTGGCGCTGCAGATGAGCAGGATGCGGAGGCTGTGTCGCTTCGAAGAGGCGCTGGGGCCCGAGAAGCGGGCCGATGCGTTGACGCGGGGCCGTCAGGCGGCGCTGGATGTAGAGGCGGCGTTGCCTGAGCCGAGGGAGGCCGGGGCCGTGAGCGGCCAGCGGGTCTCGCGGCAGGAGGCCGCTGGCAAGCTGTTGGCCGCGGAACGGGGCTGCCTGCTGCGCCTGGGCGTGGCCGTGGCTCTCCTGGGCGGGACGCTGCTGGAGGCTCCTGCTGTGGGTCATGCTTGGGTCGGCCGCAGCGGCGGGCCCGGGGTCGCGATCGGGGCGGAGGTCGGCGTGGCGAAGACCGAAGGCCTGAGCTTCGAGGACGGGCCCGAGCCGATCGGTGTGCTGAGGGCCGCCGACGGTGGCACGGGGCGATTCGGCCGGCTGGGCGCGGGTGGGTCCCTGGGCGCCTGGCCGAAGAGAGTGCATTCTGGCATGATCTAGGCAGGAGCCAGGCGCGTGCCATGGGCCCCGAGCGCCGACGCGCTGCGGCCGCGGCGCCACTCGAGGATGAGGAGCCCGCCGAGCCCATGGGCGGCACGGCTACGCCCGGGCTGGCGCCGCCGCCCCTGGCGGAGCCGCTTGGCGAGCAGTGTGACGCCCTCGCCCGCACGCTCGGGGGCGACTACGACGAGCAGGGCGGACGGATCAGACGATGGCGGGAGGTGGTGGGCGAGTCGAGGCAGGGGCGCCGCCCAGGCGCACAGGTGGGCGGACCGCCTGGGGCTCTCCACAAGTGCAAGTACATGGGGAGGCACGGTGGCGACCCGCGCCTCTGGGCCGACCTCGCCATACGCGTGAGGGGCCTTGGGCAGAATGACTGCGTGGTGCACAAGCTGAGGACGATCGTGGAGGCCTTGAACCAGGGCTTGTTATGTGACCAGCTGAACATGAGCGGTTTTATGATGGTGGAGGAGATGACTCGCCGCGTGACCGCCATGGTGGAAGCCTGCGCAGACCCGCCCAAGCCGAGCTGGAGGAACGCGCGCATCTTCGCGGACGTGAGCTCGGATAAGGACGTCTCGGGGCCAGAGCTCAGGGGCTACATCCACCGGCGGGCGAAGAAGCCGCACGAGGTGGAGCAGGCGCAGAGTCGGGCGTGTACGCTACGCGGGGCGCCTACAGGGACCGTCGGCGGAGCAGAAGGAGCTGGAGGCGACGCAGCAGGTGCGGGGCGTGGTGGCGGCCGAGGCGGCCGCGGGCGCGGCCGTGCCAGCGGCGTCGCCTCCGCGGGGCCATGACGGCCCACGGGCCCGGGGGGGCCAGCCCCTCCCCCGGGCCCTTTTTGCCGGGGCACGACGGTGGCCGCCTGCCGCCCTCGCGTGGAGCCCGCAGCTTCCTGCCGCTCCCGCTGCTGGGCGACGCTGGCCGCCGAATTCGCGGCAGGTCTGGCAGAGCGAGGCAGTTCGGTCGTGAGAATCGGATTGCGCTGGAGGTCAACGGTATCGTCGATGCCGTTAACTGGATGTCGGGGTGCAACTCGCTTCCTGGCCCAGCCAATGACATGCAGCGGGATGTACTTGCGCGCTTCGAGGGCCTCGTTCGGGGCCGGCAGCCGGACGCCAAGTTGCAGGAGCCGCAGGCGGCCCTCCGGGAGCTGCTGCGGGGCCGCTCGCCGTATGACGGGCGCAGCGGCCCGACGACGGTCGCCTCCTACAGTGCAGGTCTCGTCAGCATGCCGACGGACGTGAGCGACTGCCCGCGTCTTGAGGGCCTCTTGCCTGGCGAGGCCCTTACCTTCCTGCAGGAGCGCCAAGAGCGCATGTTGCGAGAATCACCCTTGCCGACCGACGTCGAGCCATACTTCGACTCGGTCCTCAAGTTCAACCACAAGGAGTACCGCGGCCTGGTGCGCCGGCTGCTGTCGGCTGGCATTCTGGGGTGGACTCTAACACCGAAAGAGAGAATTGGGATGTTCTTTGTGTGGAAGGATGGGCGGCGCCGACTTCGCCTCATAGTCGACGCCCGCCGTGCGAACGCCCACTTCAGGGATCCTCCTGGGGTGGAGCTTTTGAGCAGCGAGGGCCTCGCCAGAATCGAGGTGCACATGCCAGACACGGGCTTCTCAAGTTACGAGGACCTCCGCGCCGCGCTGGAGGCGCAGCAGGTGTACATCGGCATGGCGGACGTGAAGGACTGCTTTCATCGGATGCGTATTGATTCGGCCCTCTCGCAATACTTCTGCCTGCCGCCGGTCAAGGTTGGGGCTTTCGGCGTGGCCGAAGTCGAGGGGGCCAAGGTGCAGACGTCGACGGCCATCTACCCTTGCTGGCAGGTCCTGCCCATGGGCTTCAGCTGGTCCCTCTACTTCGCCCAGCGGGCCAACGAGGAGGTGAGCCGCCGCAGCAGCGCGCTCCTCTGGGGGCCCAGTCTTTCGGACCATGGGCCACCGCTCGTGTTCGCGCCTGGCAGGGCGTCCCAGGAGGTCAGGCACTACGTGTGCGTTGACAACTTGGGGGTCTTCTCGCTATTCTCTGAGCTCGTGAGCGGCGTGATGAACCAGCTGACAGGCGAGTTCACCGATCTGAACCTACTGTTGCACAAGGACGAGCTGGTGCCGGGCAAGGCAGTAGCGCTGGACACGGAGATCGACGGGGGCCAGTTGCGCACTCGTGTGACCAGTGATCGGTTCTGGCGCTGCCGCCAGGCCGTGCGAGGCCTCCTAGCCCGCCGCCGTGTCAAGGGGTGGGCCGTGGAGGCAGTGCTGGGCCACCTAACCTTCTGTGGCCTCTGCTCGCGCGGCACCTTGTCGGCCTTCAATTCAGTTTACGGCTTTGTGCGAGCCCACTACGACGAGGCGGCCGTGCTGTGGACCGAGGCGCGGCGAGAGCTGGCCGCCTTCAGCTCCCTGATGTACTTCCTGGAGTCAGATTGGTGGCTGCCTTGGAATCCGTTGGTGCAGCAGTCAGATGCCAGTCTTCACGGCTACGGACTGGCAAGGGCTTTCTGGCCGCGGGAGCTGGTGGAGTCAGTCGGGCGCGTGCCTGAGCGAGCCCGCTTTCGCCGGCGCTGCGCGCGCAGTGCTCGAGAGGCTGCGCTCTGTGCAGCTGGTTTCAGCATGAGCGAGAGTGGAAAATGGATACTCAAGGGCCTTCCTGAAGATGAGGAGGAGCTGGGCCAGTGGGACGTTGTGAGGGACTTCCCGGAGGTGCCCGCCCAGGGGCTCCGCGCAGGTCTGTGGGGGCCCTGCTTCGCGAGAGCCTGGCAGCACCCTGAGGGCATCTTGACCTTAGAGGCCCGAGCCCTGGTCAGCAGCATACATCGTATCGCCACCACGGTCTTTGGGTCCCACATACGTCAGTTGCTGCTCTGTGACAATATGTCGGTCGTGCTAAGCTTCAATCGAGGGAGGATCTCGTGTTTCAACTTGTTGGTCCAGATTCGTCGATTTCACGCTGTCTGTCTGAGCCGAAATATTCGTTGTTCGATTCGTTGGATACCCTGTGAGCTCAACTGTGCCGACCTTCCCTCACGGCTATTGATCCTGACGGCGCAAAGTCCACCCTTCTGGCTGAGCTGTTGGAGCTCGAGGGCTCCCAGGCGGGCCCAGGGCGGGCTCCCGCCTGGTCCGCACCTGAGCGGGCGGCCGGTGGCGCCGCGGCCCGCGATGCTGCCTGTGCGCCCGCGGGCGCCAGACGGGCGGGGCCGCTGTCGGGGCCCCCGGCAGGCCAGACGAGGCGCGAGGCCGGGGGCGGGACGCCGGCGCACACGGCAGCTGGCGCCGTCTCGCTTGGGGCCTGGCCTGAGGCCGTCAGCCCACGGCCAGGAGGCGAGATGCACGTGGCAGCTTCGGAGCTGCTGAAGACAGCGGTGCTGAGCCGTCCCCTGCCGCGGAGCCTGGGGCAGATGGCGGAGGACCCGGGGTAGGTGCCTGTGCCAGCGGAGCCCGCTCAGGGAGCGCGAGAGAGCGTCGGCTCCTCTGACAGCGGGAGCTCCGAGCCCGAGGTCGTGACCGGCGCCGCGCGGCAGCGCAGGCTCGCGCAGTCGCAAGAGCGCCTTGCCCGCCACTGCGGGATGACCACCGGCGAGGAGGGGTTCTCTTACCTGGAGCGGGGGGCCGTGGGGGCCCCGTCGCTGCGCGAGTTCCAGAGGGCCAGGGGCGGATGGCGGGACTTTGCCCGTCGGAGCTGGCCCCCGGTGAACATTGGCGTAGTCATAAAGAGCAGGGGCGACTCCATGGTAACCTCGGCGTTGGTGAGCTACCTGACCGGGCTGCACCAGGCTGGGACTCACCTCTCCTGGGCCGAGAAGTTGATGGCTGGCGTCCTGCACTTCAACCCCGACATGTCGAGCTACGGTGCCCGGCGCCTCCCCCAGGACTGGAGTTTCTGGACCCTGAGGCCCCCCCCGGAGGAGGAAGGCCTGCGGGAGAAAGCGGGCCTGGTGGACGTGTCGCTAGAGTTAGACTCGCCCTGGATTCGCTTCTTGGACCATGTGCTGCGTCAAATGAAAAGGGAAAAACACCCCGAATACCTGTGGAACTTCACGTGCCCAGAGTACTGCAAGATGTTCAGCCTACGCCTCCAGGACCTGCCAGTAAGAGCCAAGTTGGTGCCGTATCAGATGCGCCTTTCAGGGGCCTCGGTATACATGGCGAGGAGGTGGGGGCGGCTGGCCGACGTGCAGAAACGCAGGCAGTGGAAGGCCAACCGCAGCGTCGTCCGCTACGAGAAGCACGCACGCCTGGCAGCCACGTGGACAACTCGGAGCTGCGCGCAGCAAAATGTGTTCCTGGTCTGCGGGGCTCAGCTCGCGGACATCATTTTGGATCGCGCCTCGCCGGTCGACTTGCGGGAGCTCGACCACGCCTGACTGGCCAATATGTGGCCGACTGCTTCAGTGGCACAGGAGGCGTGGGTCGCGCCGCAATGGCAATGGGCGCGCCCGCCAGGTTCTGGGACACGCTGCACGGGCCAGGCGGCGACCTTACCCGACGAAAGGTCCTGCGAGGCTTGTGCTCCGACATCGCTGCAGGCCGCGTCTTGGCCGTGATGCTGGCACCGCCTTGTGGGCCCTGGACCACCGCTGCCGACCGAGTGGGGGCCATCCGCTCGGCATCGCAGCCCTGGTGACTCCCGCGACATCTTCTGAGTACAAAACAGCTTGCTCGCCTGGCATCGGGCAATAAGACCATGCGTGCCGCGCTGTCCGTCATCAGATGTTGCGAAAATTTTAAAGTCCCCTGCATACTTGAGCATCCTGTGAATTCACGCGTTTTCGTCACGAGAGAGGTTCTGGGGGTTATAGAACGGGGGGCCGTAGTAAGATGTCTCGATCAGTGTCAGGAGGGTGCTCGCTGGCGCAAACGAACAAGATTTTTGTGTCTGAACATAGACGCCCAGGATAGCAGCTGTCTCGATCGTCGATGTTGTCAGATCAACGGAGTTTGTAACAAGTCTGGCCGTCAACACATCGTGCTTGAGGGCAACGCCCCGAATGGTGCGAAATGGACCGCTATCGCTGCTGCCTATCCGCCAGCCCTCAATAGGAAGCTTGCTAAAGTCCTTTTGAGCGAATGGCGCGCGTCTTTATATAATCGCCCTTGCCCACCCACCCAGTAAACATTCTTGGGAACGGCTTGGGTTGACGGTGCCTCACAGCTGAGCGCCAGGACGCGCAGCCGTTCGTTCATCTGTGTCCCCGCCTTGAAAAGACCTCGGGACGTCCTGGTTTGTGCTTGCACGTGAAGGAAGTCAAGAGGGGTTTTCATTATGTCGCCCCTTTGGCTCCGCTCTCTCTTGCATCGCATAGCTTCTCTGGTCCCCCGCCCCCCCGAACCCTCTCGACCATTCGTGCACACACATGCTCTGTCTCATTTTTCTCTCTATGGTTGACGGTGCCTCACAGCTGAGCGCCAGGACGCGCAGCCGTTCGTTCATCTGTGTCCCCGCCTTGAAAAGACCTCGGGACGTCCACATCTTGGGCCGCCTGAAAGCCGTCTTGGGTCGTCTCGGGGCCTCCGTAAGCCGTCCTGGGTTTTTCTGGGGAACTCCGACGCCGCTTCGGACCCTTCCGGGGGCCTTCCGGCGCCGTTTTGGAGCCCCCGGGGAGCCCGGGGAGCCGGGGTTCCACGCAAACCCGCCAAGGCCAATTCGAATTTATTTGAATAGATATGTATGTATGTATGCATTTCTCTCTCTCTCTCTGTCTCTCTCTCTCTCTCTCTCTCTCTCTCTATATATATATATATAGAGAGATACACACGGCCTTGGGACCGTCCCACCACCTTGCCGCCCGGGTTGCGGGTCTTTGGGCCCTCTTGGGAAGCCTCATGGAGGCCTCTTGGGGGCCTCCTGGGGCCTCTCGGGGACCTTTTGGGGGCCTCCAGGGGCCTCCTGGGGCCTCTTGCGGACCTCTTGAGGGCCTCCTGGGGCCTCCTGGGGGCTTCTTGGGGCCGCGGGCTCGAAATGTCCGTTGGGGGACCTTGTCTGGGCTCCCTGTGGGAGCCGTTCTGGGGGCCTTTTGGGCTCTCTTCGAGGCCTTCTGGAGCTTCGGGAAGCCAAAAAACGCGAGTACCCCAGAAACCTTCAAAAACCAATTGAAAAGTTCTGATTTTTGCCTCTTTGGGCCCTCTTGGGAGGCCTCTTGGAGCCCTCTTGGGGCGTCTTCGAGGCCTCTTGGGCCGACTGGGGCCCATCTTGGGCCGTCGAGAGTCGCTCTTTGGCCGTGTTGGGCGCTCGGTGGGGAGCTCCGCGAAAGTCTGGCTGCAGCAGCAGCACAGCTGTGAACTCAATCCTGGCTGCAGCAGAAGCACAGCTGTGAGTCTTGGGGCACTCCACTTCGTGCCAGAGGCACGGTGGCGGACATTTGCGTCTCATGGTGTGTGTGTATATGTATGTTGTAATACGTCGTGTTCAGTTGTATTCGATGACATTGTGTTTCAATGCAACATGCTATATCACATTTTAACGTGCTGTTTTCTCACATAGTCGACTAGGTCGTATTTTAATCGGTAGTCATTCGAATTCAGTATAAGTCATGCAGCAATCTATACAACAAATTATGATTCAGGTGTTTTACTCTATTTGATTCGGTATCTCATTCTTGCAAACTGCATACCCTAGTATACTTTAGCATGTTGATTGTGTGTACGTGCATTGACATTAAGCAGATTGTAGAAATCTGCATGTTAGCATGAGCTGTTCTTTACCACAGGCTATCAACTTGCTTCTTATCGCATAAGTGATTTGTATGCTGCGGGGTAACATCGTATCTGCATTCTTTCATGACATATATGCTTTTATAGTGTGTCCGCCAACATGTAGCATTATACTTTCACCATATAGTATGATATCAAGTATCATTATTCTGCACTAGTTAGCATGATACACACCATGAGCTATACTTAGTCTTCACACGTATCACACACACGTATGTATATATAATAAATATATAATATATATTGTTTTTTTTATCATCGTATCTCACACTCAGGTCTATTATATGGAGTCATCGTGTAGTCCCACATCTGGCATTTCGTTATGTGTTTCTGATGCTCATCGTAATTGTCGTCACTCGATGAGAGTAACGTGTGTTCCAGTTTGCCACATTAACATAGATCACTGTGTGTCATGGTAAGCTATACTACATTACATGGTGTTCTATATCTTGCTGTATGGGCCTGGCCAGTATCGTTGTTTCCCTGCTCTGCTTTTGGAATCCAATGACCCGGCTTCGTGAAGCTGTCCTTGCGGTGCCTTCGCAGCTCGCATAGAGTCGCCCCCCGCGCCCGCATATGGTTTGCCCCCCCCCCCCCCCCCCCCCCCCCCCCCAGCACCCCCCAGTCAATGTTCGATTTCCGCACGTCTATCTTCTCTCTCTCTCTCTTTCTCTCCCTCTCCCTCCTCTTCCTCCTCCTCCTACTCTTTTCCTCATCGTGTTCCTCTATATTTCCCCTCCTCTTCCTCTCCTCTGCTCTCCTCTCATCTCCTCTCTTCTCCTCTCCGTTTCCTTCCCTTCTCCTCTTCATCCTTTCTTTTCCTTTGTCTTTCCTTTCCTCCTCCTTCACCTCCTCTACTTATTGGTTCTCGCCATCACGACCGCAATTACCAGCATCGCCAACAGGCAATGCGGTAATGGCAGTCGTAAGAGTTATATGGGATTGGTGCTAGTTCCTCTGATACGAACTTTACGAGCAGCAATCCAACAATGAGACTCGTGGCTGTAGTTTTAGCCGTAATAGAATCTGTAGCAAGAGTTGCATTTAGAGCTGGAGTCATTGTTGTAGTTAGGCTCGTCATAAGAGCTGTTATATGATAAACAGTAGGAGATGCATCATGAGCTGCAGTACTAGATGTAATGGCTGAGCTCGGCTGTGGTAGGATCCGTATTATGAGCTGTCGTGCTAGCTGTAGTAAGAGTAAATGTAGAACCTGTGGCAAGAGCAGGTGTAGGACCTGTGGTAATATCCGCGAGATGTTTGTACGACGGGCTGTCGTAGGAACTGTAGTACGACCTGTCATAGGATCTGCAGTTGGAGGCAATTGTAAGAGCTGCGCTGAGAGCAGTTGGAGATGCATTCAGATATGTAGTGAGCGTTGTAGCAGGAGCTGTATTGAGAGCTGTATGTATTGGCCTTCGGCCCATCCCGCCACCGTGCCTGGGCAGTGGGTCATAGGCCTCTAGAATGTTTGTTGGGATGTCGTTGGGTGCCTCTCGGGGGCCACTTGGGGGCCGTTTTGAGGCAACTCGGGGTCGTTTGGGGCCTCTTGGGGGTCTCTTGACAACAGTCGAGCTGGTCCCCAGCTGAACTGGGGCCCAAAACTGGTCCCCAGATGAGCTGGTCCCGAGCTGAGCTGGGCACCAAGCTGAACTGGTCCCCAGATGGACTCTGCCCCAACTGAGCTGGGCCCCAGCTGAACTGGGCCCCAGACTGAACTGGTCCCCAGATGAACTCGCCCCCGCGCCCGGCGCAGCAGCGGGGCGGGACCCTCTGGGGACCTGTTCAGTCGAAGACCAGTTCAACCTGGGCCCAGTCCAACTGGGGATCAGTTTCTGTGGCCCAGCCAGTTCAAGCAGGGACCAGTTCAACCAGGGAACAGCTTCACACGCTAAACTGTTCCCCCGGCGGGGCCCGGCTTGGATCCGACCCCCCACCCGCCGAGTATAGTGTACCCCCCTCAACCGTTGCCGCCTCACCTGCACGCCCGCCCACCCGCCACATCCCCTCGCGCAGGCCGCGGGCCCGAAAGCGTAAAAAGACGGCCCGAGACTCTCAAACCGACACGCCCGAAGAACTCGAGGCCCTGAGTCTCTCACACCCTGAGTCTCGCAAGCTTGGTCCATCCATCCCCAGCTTGGTTGAAACAGGCGGCGGCCCCCCGTTTCTTGAGCAACGTGCCGCGCAGAACCGATGAGAGTCATTGCCCTGCTTATCGCTTCTGGCTGGGTGCTGCGCCGACTCGGAACAGCATGCACTGGAAAATTATCCCGGCAAAGCAACCTAACAGCGATGTGTAGGAGCATATTTGGAAGCATTCCCCTTAAGATTCAGATGAGAATCCAGTTGTAGAATTCTGCTGTTCTCGCAGTCGTAGTCGCATTCGCGATGACAGTCGCAGTGGCCTGCAGCCTCAGCCTCAGCCTCAGCCTCAGCCTCAGCCTCAGCCTCAGCATCAGCCTCAGCCTCAGCCTCAGCCTCAGCCTGCCTCAGCCTCAGCCTGCTTCAGCCTCAGCCTCAGCCTCAGCCTGCAGCCTCGGCCTCAGCCTCAGCCTGCCTCAGCCTCAGCCTGCCTCAGCCTCAGCCTCAGCCTCAGCCTGCCTCAGCATCAGCCTGCCTCAGCCTCAGCCTCAGCCTGCCTCAGCCTCAGCCT